GAGTGTGTGTGTGTGTATTTGTGTGTGTGTGTGTGTGTACGCGTGTGTGTGTGTGTGTGTGTGTGTGTGTGTGTGTTCAGTAATCTGTGAAAAGTCACTTATTAAATTTGAGAAAACTGAGAACCCATGACAGGTGCCAGAGCATTAAATGAATGTATGTGGGAAACATTAATGCCACACACTTAGCCATGAAATATAATAAACTGTGGTCTAAGTCCATTAGGACTGGGCAATACATATATATGATGATTATTAGATTAAGCTGGAACTATAAAACATACCCCCGGTTTCACAGACAAGACTTAAGGCTAGTCCCAGATTAAAATGCATGTTTGAGCTGTCTCAACTGAAAATATCTTGCTCTGACATATCTTTAAAAATGTCAGTTCCATTGTTCTGTCTCAAGATGCACACATGTAACGTTTTCTTCTAAGGCATTTTTATAAGAGCTGCTTAAATATCTTCATTTAACAAAGGCCTAGTCCTGGCTTAAGCTAAGCCCCGTCTGTGAAACCGGGCCATAATGTATCAAATTAAGCAACACTGTAAATATTGTCATTAATTAACTACAGGTTAACTGTATTTAACTTGCATTAAACATCTACTAGAATATAATGGCTGTTTGATGGAAATGACTCAAAAATGCAAATACATAAAAAGTGTCATACAGACATTTACAGTATAAAAGAAGTCTTGTTCAAAAATACAGTCAAATCAGTAATAATGTGAAATATTATTGCAATTTAAAATAACTGTTTTCTTTTTGAATATATTTTAAAATGTAATTTATTTCTATGACACAAAGCTGAATTTTCAGCATCATTACTCCAGTCTTCAGTGTCACACGATCCTTCAGAAATCATTCTAATATGCTGATTTGATGCTCAAGAAATATTTCTTATAATTACCATCGCTGAAAACAGTGCTGCTTCATATTTTTGTGGAAACTGTGATACATTAGATTTTTTTGAGGATTCTTTGTTTAATGGAAAGTTTAAAAGAGCAGCATTTATTTGAAATAGAAATCTTATGTAACATTATAAATGTCTTTACTTTATAAATGCCAGTCCTAATGCTATTTTTTTTTAGCAACTACATGTAACTTCAGAAGGACTGTTGTTGTTAGTCTGTCATCCATTTTACCTTATTTTGGATTGTGTCAGTCCAAAAGACTCTGTGCAGCTGGTAATGGAAGTCCACACCAACAGCGACTCCTCTGTTCTGGGACTCGACCAGGGTTTGAGCGTTGTGTCCGTGGACATCAGCGATCAGCAAGTCTCTCCCGTTGGAGAATATAAGCGAAGGCTCCCCAGCTGAAGATTGCCAAACAAAGTGAATTAATGTGGCAAGCTTCAAAATGACGGATACAGTTTGACAATCTTTGGAGAACTCACATAATATAATGTACTTTTGATAAGACATAACTAATGTGAGAGAGTTTGGGATTGGCTGTGTGGTGCCAGCGTTTGTTATTCATTTCCAGCGCCTGCCAAACAAATGGTTGGGAGGCAGACATTTCAGGAGCTTAATAACACAATGGCATCCAATGCAAACTGAGGCGCTTGAAGAGAGATGGGCTGCAAAAAGCCTGATTAATGGATATATAAGATAACAGTTAACACCAGGAATATTAGTCTCAAAGATACTTATGTGAAAGCATGCAGGAAAATATAAGTAAGTAGTAAGTAAGAAGTAACAGCAAAAATTAAAAACAAATATATTTAATAAAGAATTAATTTAATATGATTTCTTAAGGTAAAAAGTGACACTGACTAAAGAAACACAATTAAAAATATGTGTAAACCTGTGTAAAATATATATTTAAAAAAGAAATTCATTTAATATGATTTATTATGAGAAAAAATACGTGTTAACCTTTGTTATAAAATATATTTAAAATAAATATTAATTAATTGAATTTGTGATAAATATAAGAAAAAAAGGATACTGCGTAAATAAATATTTTTTTAATGTGTAAAACTAATTAAATTTAATAAGATTAATTATGAGAATAAAAGTACAGAGAAAAATTGAAAACAATTTGTTTAATAAAAATATTTAAAAGAAATATTAATTAATCCAATATGACTTATTATGAGAAAAAAAGTACAAAATTGGCTGTGTGGTGCCAGCGTTTGTTATTCATTTCCAGTGCCTGCCAAACAAATGGTTGGGAGGCAGACATTTCAGGAGCTTAATAACACAATGGCATCCAATGCAAACTGAGGCGCTTGAAGAGAGATGGGCTGCAAAAAGCCTGATTAATGGATATATAAGATAACAGTTAACACCAGGAATATTAGTCTCAAAGATACTTATGTGAAAGCATGCAGGAAAATATAAGTAAGTAGTAAGTAAGAAGTAACAGCAAAAATTAAAAACAAATATATTTAATAAAGAATTAATTTAATATGATTTCTTAAGGTAAAAAGTGACACTGACTAAAGAAACACAATTAAAAATATGTGTAAACCTGTGTAAAATATATATTTAAAAAAGAAATTCATTTAATATGATTTATTATGAGAAAAAAATATACTTGTAAATCTGTGTAAAATATATTTAAAATAAATATTAATTAATTTAATTTGTGATTAATATAAGAAAAAAGGATACTGCGTAAATAAATAAATATATTTTTAAAATGTGTAAAACTAATTAAATTTAATAAGATTAATTATGAGAATAAAAGTACAGAGAAAAATTGAATTTTTTTTTTATAAAAATATTTAAAAGAAATATTAATTAATCCAATATGACTTATTATGAGAAAAAAAGTACAAATAAATACAATTAAAATATACTTGTAAATCTGTGTAAAATATATTTAAAATAAATATTAATTTAATTTGTGATTAATATAAGAAAAAAGGATACTGCGTAAATAAATAAATATATTTTTAAAATGTGTAAAACTAATTAAATTTAATAAGATTAATTATGAGAATAAAAGTACAGAGAAAAATAGATTTTTTTTTAATAAAAATATTTAAAAGAAATATGAATTAATCCAATATGACTTATTATGAGAAAAAAAGTACAAATAAATACAATTAAAATATACTTGTAAATCTGTGTAAAATATATTTAAAATAAACATTACAAAATTTTATATGATTTATCATAAAAAAGAACAGAGCTGTAATTCCATTAGGACTGGGTGACAAATATGTATATTTCAAACGTTCACAGAATAAATGCAAATATTTAGCTTGCACTATAAAATCCAAAACAAAAATGTAAGCAACATTTTGATCAACTGTGCATTTTTTAAACTAGATTTTAACTATATTTAAATTGTAACTATAGGCTACAATTGCTTTTACAAGCTGCAAAATATGTTTAATTTTGTCCGTTTAATCTGAATACATGATGTTTCCTAACCATACTGTGAAATAAAAAACAGATTATTTGATGATGTAAATTGGAGAACATTTTACAAGAAACATACATACTCTTTCGGTCTTTCTACTTCAAAATTTCAATTTTTATTTTATGTGTTACTTGCCATTTGTTTGAAATTAATTGTGAAATTTACTAGCAATTTCTGAGTAAAAACATTTTCAGTGCACATTACTTGCATTATCTTATAGCTGTATATTACTGCCATATGGATGGTACTTTGACACTAATCTCTGACTGATAGCAGAATACTTTCTGACTGTAACATTGAAACAAAATAAACTTGAAGTGAATCAGTTACAGCCCTTCATCAAACACAGGGATTGAGTATATACTGTAGGCAGCATATTAGAGGCCTGAAGGGACTCACACGAGGGATTTGCGCGGCAGTATTTGTGCTGCTCCAGAAGGTAACCGTCCCGACAGCTGCAGCGATGGCTTCCGATCCGATCTGCACACAGCTGGTCACACATGCCCCACAGACTACAGTCATCGTAATCTGCAAAGACGTGCACAGAGTACAGGGAGAGTTGATGGCAAGTCACCGGTTTGACTGAATATGAGCAACTATTTGTAATCACCAATCAAAGGTTTTGCACCAATGCATGAGCGGCTGTCGTTTCTGCTGACCACGTATCCCGGCGGACAGGCACAGGTTCCTCCGTCAGGAGAGGAGTGACAGTGATGCTCACAGCTCAGAGATGCACAGCGCCAGATACCTGACACAAAACACAGCCATACAGCACATGAAATGTTAGGAAAGTCTTAGAGGAAACCGAAAATGTACAAAGCGTTAAAGCAAACACAGAATTAAAGTCATACCAAGCCAAAAACTAAGACAGCAGCAATGTCTTTAACAGTGAATTAGGCTAGAATTGTTGTTACTGTTATCTAAAACTGAAACTACACTGTAAAAAATAGTTCTAAATAAAGATTCTTGGAGTACGTTTTCCAAGAAAATACTATTTCATTATTTTCACTTTTCACATTTATTTCAAAGTGTTACCTGCTTTTCTTTTTACATGAAGATATTTTGTAAATTTCTTACTGTAAATATATCAAAACTTAATTTTTGATTAGTAATATGCATTGCTAAGAACTTCATTTGGACAACTTTAAAGATGATTTTCTCAATATTTTGATTTTTTTGCACCCTCAGATTGCAGGTTTTCAAATAGTTGTATCTCGGCCAAATATTGTCCTATCATAACAAACCATACATCAACGGAAAGCTTATTTATTATTCATTATATTATTACAATTAATATTCAGCTTTCAGATGATGTATAAATCTCAATTTTTAAAAAATTAACCCTTATGACTGGTTTTGTGGTCCAGGGTCACATTTGTGAAATTTACTAGCAATTTGAAAGAGTGAATTTTTTCAATGTATTAAAAATCAGTTAGCAGTAAAAGAAATAAAGCTGAAGTAAAATAACATATAAATATTACATTAAAAACAAAAACTTAAAAAAATTGAAATATTTAAGTATTCAAATGACTAAAACTGAAATAAAATAATGTTTGAAATGTTTAAATGTTAAAAAATTGTTAACTAAAAACGATTCAAAACATTTGGTTAATTGTTAATTGCAACTGTTAATTTAATCCTAAATTATGAATAATAATTTAAATAAATAAAATGAAAATAAATAAAAATAAAACTGAACTGAACTGAAACTAAACTGCAATAAAAATAAATAGCAATATTAAAAGAACTAATACAAATGACAAAAGCACATAACAAAATTACTAACATTTAAGCTAAAATTAAAACGTAAACTGAAAATATAAAAATAAAAGTGAAAGCTTTAAAAAGGTGACTATTTAACAAAAAAAAAGTTTTAAGTTGAAGCATTAAAGCAGCACTATGTAACTTTTTCTGTGTTCAAAATTTGCAACATGTATATAATGAGCGAGTACATCATGAATTCATCTTCCAAACCGCGTTTTTGTCTTATTCCGAATCGCCTACTTTTTGATCAGTTCATCAGTAATATTCAGGAAATAATAGATATTGCCCTGCCACCCCCATCCCCGTTGGGCAAAGGGTCGAAATGATCACTTGTTTGTGCTTCGTGAACACTCTCGCCTTGCACGGCGGCACCATTGCGCTGCAAAGATTATTTGAGAGCGCTGCAAAGATTATTAGAAAACTGATCATCATTTCCAAAAGGCAAATATTCCCCTTCAGAGTCAGAATCGGCGAATAACATTTGCAACACATCCTCACGGTACAACTTTTTATTAGCCATTTGGCGATTTTCTCTCACAAATCTCACAGCTTACCCGCACGCTATGAACTGAACTGCTTCTGCATCAATGACACGATAGCTCACTTGCTCTGCTCTTTCCTCAAACACTTTGAATAGGAACGTGACGTAATTTTGGTCTAGAATCGAAGTACTACATGTCTGCCATCTAGTGGTAGGGAATACAAATGAGATATTACACCATATTAGGAACTACAGTCTATTTGATTAAGTATGACGTCTTGTCGCAATTTTGCGACTTTGGCGATTAGAGGGTTAAAATTACTAGAAACTCAAACTGAAATCAAATAAACTAAAGCTACATCGAAATATTAAAAAAAGAGACTAATAAAAATGACAAAAGCACAAAATTAAATCACAAAATAAAAACTGAACATATAAAAAAAGGTCATTCGAAATATTAATTAATACTATAATGGTATATAAACAATACTAAAACAACACTGGCAGGAATCAGCTTTAGTGATTTTTAGGTGGTAACTGACTGCAGTTGCGTCCAGCAGTGGTGTTGGTTTCATCTTCTCCGTCCGGACAGTGTGCCGTCCCGTCACAGAGATGCTCCAGAGGGATGCAAACACCAGAAGAAGGACACGGCCATTCCCCGGGATAACACTCATGCTGGACATTATCTAAACACACCACAAAAAACACCATGTTCAGTCAAGATACTTTCATGTCGTGAAAAACGTGCAATATTTTGAAATATTTAGCACGAAGTAGGACGTTTTAGGGACGCACCACAGCCTCTCTCATCCGCATTGTCCTCGCAGTCATCCTCTCCATCACACAGCCAGACCTGATGAATGCAGCGGCCACTGGGACAGGTGAAGTACGTTCCTCTGCAGGTTGGGTAGGCTGTAGAGAATACATTACTGTGAACATTCACACCACTTCCTGTCACCTTTTTACATTCTTTATGATTGGATTTGAGAAACTGTGGAATGAAATATACATACTGCAGTTCTGTTCATCACTTCTGTCTCCACAATCATCGTCATGATCGCAGACGTATCCGCGAGGAATACATTCTCCATTACTGCACTGAAACTGACCGCTGCTGCACCGCTGGGCTGAAAACAAACAAGAAATATGTCTATCCACAACACAATTTCATCAAAGTTACATAAAGCTGAAGATAACTATACTTGGTATGTTTTCACCACACCAAAGGGTGCAAAAAGGATGAATATAAAAACAAAATTCAGCATACAATACAGTATAATAAGGAATAGGGCTGTCAAAAAAAAATTCGAATTTTGAATATTCGTCGAATAAAAATAAAAAAACCACATTCGAATGCAAAAACGTTGCATTCGAATTTTAGGTCTGCGTCAGCCATCAGGCAGCCTTATCAGTTGTGCACGAAATGTGACGACAATGTAAGTATCATTGCATTTTAATGCTTTTGTTAGCCTATCCAGTTGAACCCACTAGATGCGGCGCTGCTACGTTGTTCATTCAATATATAGCGAAAAACGAGAGCATCAGTGTGGAGAAGATGTTTTATTTACATCAAAACTGAAACCAAGCCGTTCACACAGAACGCATATTTATCA